TGGTCTTGCAGCACCCCCTCCCGCAGGGCTGAGCCCCTGGACCCGAGCGCCTTCATCCCCGCGTGCCTCCATCCTCCGCCGACGGAGCCAGGTGGAGCCCCTGCACCCTGGTGCCGTCATCTTCTCGGCTCCGCATCCCTGAGGCCCCCGAACGCACTCGTCTCCATCCCCCGTGAGCCTCCGTCCTACGCTGCACTGAGGCCTCTGAGCCTCCCGGCTTCTGCCTCCTGCCTGCCTGTCCCCATGCGCCTCCACCCCTGGGGAGGAGAGAGGCTGGCGGGGGGACGGAGCCTCCTGCCTTCCAGGCTCTTGGGCTCAAGCCACTGTCCCTGAACCCTTCCAGGCCCGGGAGGGCAGCTGGAGCCATGGAGAGGCAGGAGTACAGCCTGTGCTCGGCTCCGAGCCTGCGATGCGGGAAGGAAACGGACCTGGTGCCTGTGTGCGAAAGCTGCGAGACCTGCGTCCTAGCCTGGAGGATCTTCTCCACCAAGGAGTGGTTCCTGCGAGCCGGCGCGCTCACCCGCAGCAGGTTCCTGCAGGGCATCGTCAAGCGTTTTGACAGCTTCAGTTTACTCTGCTACACCGAGAGGCTCCTGAGAGTGACCCAGGAGAAGGATTTTACTTACGTGCGCTCCGAAATCACCTACAGCCTCAGCGACCGGAATGCCTCCAGCTCCAATGGCGCTCTGGATCCGTGGAGGCTAGAGCAAGACATACAGGACACGTGGTGGTGGTTCGCAAAAAGCAGCTACTGGACTAAAGCAAACTACACTCTGCACTTACTGAAGCTCTGCGATGCCAAGTTGCTGTTTATGGTGGCTGACCTGGTGCGAGAACAAACCATCCTGGCGAGAACAGGTAACCGCAACGTGAGATCCCCACTGCGGGCGATCACCGACGTCACGTCGGTCACATCGCAAGGCCAGAGTCAACCCTGTAAATTCTCGTGGTGTCAGAAGCCACAGAATTTTCTGGGGCAGCCTGTCACCCGATGTGCATCACGGGTCTTAGCCTAAAGAAAGCTTTTCCCCTTTTATCTGTTAACTTTGGTTATATGCGGGACAAATGTTCTTCTGAGCTAGGTGAAATACTACCATGTAAGAGATTTTTCAACTGTTTTTTATTATTATTATTTACTACTTATTGGGCAGAAAACAGTGGACCAAAAAGCTTCCTTTCAGAGCAGTCAGGTCTGAGAGCCCCTTTGGCACCTGAAGATGTGGTCCGGGGCAGCTTTCGTTTTGATCTAGCAGTGGCTTCCGCAGAGAGCTTGCAGCAATAAATTGCATTGGATTTACTGCGTGGTGGCTCTGATAGATGACAGTTTGCCCTTTAGTTTCTTTTCACATTATCTGTGTGGCAAAGAAGGCTACTGCCCTCTTAGAGGCTCCCGGGGACTTCGGCTGGATTCCCCTGAGCTACAGAGCACAAGCACCAGCGCCAGGAATGACGCTAGACACGGATGTAGCCTTGCCCAGCTGCAGGGCCCGGGTTCCTCTGTCATCTGCAGCATCCCGGGCAGCTCCCGCTGTTGCTCTGGCTGTTCCCCTCTTAAGCAGATGTTTTATTACACGTAGCAGAACTCTCCCTGCAGGCAGCACAAACGGTAACAGCTGAAAGCAGCAGTTCAACCAACACTAACTGCAACTTTATTTGCCACACGCTATTAACCTTCTGGTTCATGCTGCAAATCCCGCATCACTTCTGGTGCGATCCTTCCAGCTGTAGGAAACAGGATGGCAAAGCAGGGGGAGAGGACACA